CCAGCCACCCACCCCACTCGGAGGACCCCCGGATCTCCAGCTGTACGCCCCACTCGGAGCACACCCGGATCTCCAGCTGTACTCCCCACTCGGAGGACACCCGGATCCCCAGCTGTACACCCCACTCGGAGGACACCCGGATCCCCAGCTGTACACCCCACTCGGAGGACACCCGTATCCCCAGCTGTACACCCCACATTGAGGACACCCGGATCTCCAGCTGTACACCCCACATTGAGGATACCCGGATCTCCAGCTGTACACCGCACTCTGAGGATACCCGGATCTCCAGCTGTACACCGCACTCTGAGGACACCCGGATCTCCAGCTGTGACACCCGGATCTCCAGCTGTACACCCCACTCGGAGGACACCCGGATCTCCAGCTGTACACCCCACTCGGAGGACACCCGGATCTCCAGCTGTACTCCCCACTCTGAGGACACCCGGATCTCCAGCTGTACTCCCCACTCGGAGGACACCCGGATCTCCAGCTGTACTCCCCACTCTGAGGACACCCGGATCTCCAGCTGTACTCCCCACTCTGAGGACACCCGGATCTCCAGCTGTACTCCCCACTCTGAGGACACCCGGATCTCCAGCTGTACTCCCCACTCTGAGGACACCCGGATCTCCAGCTGTGACACCCGGATCTCCAGCTGTACACCCCACATTGAGGACACGCGGATCTCCAGCTGTACACCCCACATTGAGGACACCCGGATCTCCAGCTGTACACCCCACTCGGAGGACACCCGGATCTCCAGCTGTACTCCCCACTCTGAGGACACCCGGATCTCCAGCTGTACTCCCCACTCTGAGGACACCCGGATCTCCAGCTGTACTCCCCACTCTGAGGACACCCGGATCTCCAGCTGTACTCCCCACTCTGAGGACACCCGGATCTCCAGCTGTACTCCCCACTCTGAGGACACCCGGATCTCCAGCTGTGACACCCGGATCTCCAGCTGTACACCCCACATTGAGGACACGCGGATCTCCAGCTGTACACCCCACATTGAGGACACCCGGATCTCCAGCTGTACACCCCACTCGGAGGACACCCGGATCTCCAGCTGTACTCCCCACTCTGAGGACACCCGGATCTCCAGCTGTACTCCCCACTCTGAGGACACCCGGATCTCCAGCTGTACTCCCCACTCTGAGGACACCCGGATCTCCAGCTGTACTCCCCACTCTGAGGACACCCGGATCTCCAGCTGTGACACCCGGATCTCCAGCTGTACACCCCACATTGAGGACACGCGGATCTCCAGCTGTACACCCCACATTGAGGACACCCGGATCTCCAGCTGTACACCCCACTCGGAGGACACCCGGATCTCCAGCTGTACTCCCCACTCTGAGGACACCCGGATCTCCAGCTGTACTCCCCACTCTGAGGACACCCGGATCTCCAGCTGTACTCCCCACTCTGAGGACACCCGGATCTCCAGCTGTACTCCCCACTCTGAGGACACCCGGATCTCCAGCTGTACTCCCCACTCTGAGGACACCCGGATCTCCAGCTGTGACACCCGGATCTCCAGCTGTACACCCCACATTGAGGACACGCGGATCTCCAGCTGTACACCCCACATTGAGGACACCCGGATCTCCAGCTGTACACCCCACTCGGAGGACACCCGGATCTCCAGCTGTACTCCCCACTCTGAGGACACCCGGATCTCCAGCTGTACTCCCCACTCTGAGGACACCCGGATCTCCAGCTGTACTCCCCACTCTGAGGACACCCGGATCTCCAGCTGTACTCCCCACTCTGAGGACACCCGGATCTCCAGCTGTGACACCCGGATCTCCAGCTGTACACCCCACATTGAGGACACGCGGATCTCCAGCTGTACACCCCACATTGAGGACACCCGGATCTCCAGCTGTACACCCCACTCGGAGGACACCCGGATCTCCAGCTGTACTCCCCACTCTGAGGACACCCGGATCTCCAGCTGTACTCCCCACTCTGAGGACACCCGGATCTCCAGCTGTACTCCCCACTCTGAGGACACCCGGATCTCCAGCTGTACTCCCCACTCTGAGGACACCCGGATCTCCAGCTGTACTCCCCACTCTGAGGACACCCGGATCTCCAGCTGTGACACCCGGATCTCCAGCTGTACACCCCACATTGAGGACACGCGGATCTCCAGCTGTACACCCCACATTGAGGACACCCGGATCTCCAGCTGTACACCCCACTCGGAGGACACCCGGATCTCCAGCTGTACTCCCCACTCTGAGGACACCCGGATCTCCAGCTGTACTCCCCACTCTGAGGACACCCGGATCTCCAGCTGTACTCCCCACTCTGAGGACACCCGGATCTCCAGCTGTACTCCCCACTCTGAGGACACCCGGATCTCCAGCTGTGACACCCGGATCTCCAGCTGTACACCCCACATTGAGGACACGCGGATCTCCAGCTGTACACCCCACATTGAGGACACCCGGATCTCCAGCTGTACACCCCACTCGGAGGACACCCGGATCTCCAGCTGTACTCCCCACTCTGAGGACACCCGGATCTCCAGCTGTACTCCCCACTCTGAGGACACCCGGATCTCCAGCTGTACTCCCCACTCGGAGGACACCCGGATCTCCAGCTGTACTCCCCACTCGGAGGACACCCGGATCCCCAGCTGTACACCCCACTCGGAGGACACCCGGATCCCCAGCTGTACACCCCACTCGGAGGACACCCGTATCCCCAGCTGTACACCCCACATTGAGGATACCCGGATCTCCAGCTGTACACCCCACATTGAGGATACCCGGATCTCCAGCTGTACACCGCACTCTGAGGACACCTGGATCTGTTGCTCTGCACCCCACTCTGACGAGCCTAGGAAATGTGGAACACTTGGATTTATCCCTGAGACCCCGTATTGTAACCCCTCCATCAATGAGGAACGCTGGCATTGTAGATCAGGGACTGTGACCCCCCCATTTATGAGTAGCCCTGGAATTGGGGAACCAAGGTCTTGACACCCCAGTCTCTGAGGAACCCTGGCACTGGGATTTTGACACCTAACTTCCAGGATTTTTGGTGGGTCTGAAGTGTCATTCTACGAGCTGGGGGCACTGAGACACCCCTATACAATGCAGCAACAGATCTGCCCCTTGCAGAAGAGCACCCCTTGTGGTGGAGGGCACCAGTGAGAGACATGGAGGCTGACGGGCAGGGGGGCAGTGGTGTGGAGTTCAGTAACAAGGATTCGGAGAAGCAGCTAAGACTTCGGCTTTGTGTGCTGAATGAGATCCTGAACACTGAGAGGGACTATGTGGGGACTCTACACTTTCTGCAGTCCGTGAGTACCTCTGTGTGCCAAAGGGGTGTTGGAAAAGGGGGTGGGGGTGTGTGTCTGAGTGTTATATTATCTATGTATTGCCCCTGTACACATAGGGGTGTAGTGTTTTGGGGAGCAGAGAGATTTGGGTAGGATTCTGCTTATGTACCAATCTTGTGAGTTTATTCTCTTCTTCCACCAAGTGGTTTATTGGGGTGTTCTTAGGGGTCACTGAAACTGACAGAAGACTCAACCAACATGACCCCCGGTAGGTAGCAGACACTCCGTTCCTCATCATCCGTCCACCTTCCCGAGTACACTCGCCTTATGTCACCTTTCTGGAGAGTCCAGTGACTGAGCTCAGGGGAGTGTAATCCAAAAGGCAGAGAGATGACCCGAAGCAAAATGTTCTGGACCCGTTGGAGGGTCAATATTGACTATATGGCGTCACTGACTGACATCCCAACTGTGTGCTGGCTCCATCACAGAATCTTCACTGTGTGGTCCTGATGTAAGGAAGTCCAGTGCAGATGGAACAGCTGAGGGGTGCTTCTGAGCATGCAGCCCAGCTGAGGGTTACAACTGGAGCATGTGTTCCAGCTGAGGAGTAAGTCTTGAGCATGTGTTCCAGCTGAGGGTTAAAACTGGAGCATGTGTTCCAGCTGAGGGGCGCTTCTGAGGATGTGTTCCAGCTGAGGGGTGCTCCTGAGGATGTGTTCCAGCTGAGGGGCGCTCCTGAGGCTGTGTTCCAGCTGAGGGGCGCTCCTGAGGCTGTGTTCCAGCTGAGGGGCGCTCCTGAGCGTGCAGCCCAACAGAGGGGTTCTCCTGAGCATGCAGCCCAGCACAGAGGTGCTCTTGAGCGTGCAGCCCAGCCGAGGGGTGCTCTTGAGTGTGCAGCCCAGCCGAGGGGCTCTCCAGGAAGTGTGTCCCAGCCAGGGGTTACTTCAGGGTGCATGTCCCAGCTTGGGGGGTGCTCATGGGCCTGTCGGGTTCTATTTTTTGGCATGTGGCACAGTGAGAGGGGAATCCTGACTCTATGCGCCCCTCCTGGGAAACCCCAAGCGGCTGACCTGCTGGGGTTATGTGAGGAGAGGCAGTGATTGGTGGTTTATCTTTGATAATTCCGCTCACCCTAGCGGGCCGCGTATGAAGAGCTTTCCCTCTATAACTGGATTATCCTGACACAACACACGCTGCGTCAGTCAGATCACGCTCCATTCTCTCCGCTGAACACCGGTCGCATATCGGTGAATCTCAACAATAATCCGCCACTTTGTGGGCACCCCCCCCCCCCTGTCTGAGCTGCTTTAACCCAATCACCACTGGAGTTTCTAGCTGGTAATTCATTGACCTTGGGGGGGCGGGATATTGTTCATGTGGCTGTCAGATGTGGCTGTATTAAAGGGGTAGTTCTCTCCTGCACAAGAACCCCAGTGGAGGTGGTATAGGAGATCACGGAGGTATTATTCTAGGGTGCGGAATTCACAACAACCAATCAGCAATTAGCTTTCAATAATCTGACGGCACTAAACGTCTATCGTTTGGTTGTGGTTTGTTGCTGCATCTTCTACATCCCGGTATTATAACATGGTGGCGCATTGGAGACTTGAAGTGTCTTCTACTCCTGAATAGCATATAAATAATGAGCGTGATGCTGAGGGGGTGGCAAGGCATGCTAGGACTAGTAGTTCCACCCTGCCTGGGGAGTGACAAGTTTGCAGCTGCTGCCATCATCACTGGCACATACACCTTCATCATGTGCGGGTTAGTGGCCGCCATTATGGTGAACGTCCAGCAGACTTGGTGTCGTTCAATGTAAAGGTTCCGCCGGTGTCTATGGCAGAGGCTTTCCTGGTGCGGCTTCTGTGCTGGTTTCTCTCCTCCTGGGGGGCCAATGGAGGGATTAGTTGAGTGACTGACAGCTGGACATAAGGGACACGCGTGTCAAACGTGATTTCTGGACTTCACGCATCCCGCACATTCCTTCCCGCATCTCGTGACCACTTTCATACATGTAGTAGATGATGGAAGACTCAAAGCGCTCCGTGAGTTTTCTTATTATAGCTCCAGAAGCTCCAACAAAACTTCTCTTATAATGAGTTCAGGATTGCCGTGTGTGAGTGTCAATAACCCACAACACAAACTTGGCTTCCCCAGTAAGGAAAGAGCCCGCAGTAACATGGCCCCATACAGCAGGGCCCGACAAATCCCAGGAGCCGGGTCGCCAATGCCCTTTAAAAAAAACTACAGCTGGCGCCTAACTTTTCAGCTTCTCTCTAGTTGCTTTCAATGGAGCTCCTAAAATAAAATCCGGCTGATAACATTCTGTGTTCTCTGCCTGTGCTGACTGCTATCAGCTACATTGTTCCAGTTCTCTCTGGACTGCAGAACATCTCCCACCATGTTAGGGAGAAGAGGAGAAGGCGCACTTCCTGTCCTAGGCTGATAACATTGTTACTCTATTCCAGCATTCCTCAACCCTCTTTCCACTCAAGACACCCTTTAAAAGTATGCAAAATTCCTATGCACCCCAGCTTGAAATGTAACGTATTTTAAGGGGGACCCCACGAAATGTGGGTTTCTCCCTTCACATCAAAGTACTCTCTTCCAATCAATAGCCCATCCACCCCCCTCCCACCACCACCAACACACACACCAGGACACCACCTTCAGATCAGAATCCCTCCTTTGACATCAGAGTCCCCCCCCTTCCCATCGGAGTCCCCACCCGCTTCCCATCGGAGTCCCCCCTTCATATTAGAAGCCCCCTTCACATTAGAGTCTTACCATCAGAAACTTCCGGGGCACCCCTGAAGAAGCCAGAAGGCACACCGGTGTGCCGCCATGGCACCATGATTGAGAAAGGCTGCTCTATACAGTGCAGTGAGTGAGCATTACATTGTTCCCAATCTATGTCTGAGGACTACAGACCCGCCTCCCATGTTATCTTGAAGAGGATAGGGGAGGTGTTCTGTCGTCCTATCCTTGGGTGACAACACTGCTATTATTTTAGGAGCCAATCTGTCCAATCCCGGAGCTAACAGGACTTTTTTTTTTTTTAGCAACAGCCAGCTCTATTGACAATGACTAGAGAAAGCCGGCTGTTAAGTGCAAGAGGCATTTCAGAGCTGCAACAACTAATCGACTAAATCGATAATAATCGATCATGAGAATAGTTGGCAACTTTTCTCATCGAGAGTTTTTTTTTTTGTTTTTTTTTATACAATCAATTAGTTGAAAAAATAATCGGGTAACTAATCGATGATTAAAATAAGGCAATCGTTAAGGCATTTGGCTACCTCGCTCATGGGATTTGTCCCGCCCTGCCATAGATACAGTACAGCGAGTGCACGTTGTCACCCTGGGACAGGAAGTGCGTTACTGGCAGGAACACTGGGTGATAATAAAGGAAAAACCCTGAAAAATGAAAACTAATGCAGATAGCAAGCAATTGAGCTGCAAGTTTGATGATGACTTGCTAAATTGTTGCAGACTTGCCGAGCTTCACCATTGTGTTGCGCAATTACAGCAAGTCTCCAGATCAATGTACTTTGTAGCAGTGCTGTGTACACTGGCAGCGCTCTCGCTAACACCTGCAGGACTCTTGCTGTAGACTTGCCGAGCACATTTGCTACAAATTCAGAAAGTGTCGCCTAGAACTTGTGCTGCTGCGAGTGTTCTGCGAGTGTTCTGCGAGTCTACAACCTGCCGGGGATGTGCGCAGCAAGTTAGAAAGAATTACAATGTAACCCGGACACAAGTCTGTGGCAAGTTATCCTCGCTATCTGGGTACCACATCTCAGCAATTTATGGTTTTGGGTCAGATATGTTTTTACGTCTTTAGCATCACATTGATTTCATTTCCCTGTAAATCAGCTCGCTGCCA